TCATGTCCTCCTGTTGAGGATGTGCCCTTCTGGCCCTGGCGGCAGCTTTCAAGTATTACAGACGAAAGGCTTGGTGTTGGTGGCTCATGTCATTGCATTTGGCAGAACATGCAACAAAAGCTTTGGAGAGGTGGGGGTGTCATCAGTGATGTCATTCTGTGACACTCGTGCCTGTGGTTTATGGGTTTCTTGCAGTGCTTCCTGGTGGATGAAGTAGAGCTCATCCCTTTGTATGTGTTAGAAAATCAAGAGGGTGTATCTGGCACACAGGAGGCTGGTGAGCCATACCTCTGGCCAGTGTTAGGCTCCATTTACGTTTCTCAGATTTCCAGGTCCATCTCTTCAGTTATTTCAACTTTATGTCCTGAGGTGATAATGGCATACAATGAAGAAACAAGAAACCGGGGCTGTACTCATTTATGCCCAGTGCAGGTTAAGACATAAATCCTCTTCTTCAGCAAACAAGTCATAACTTACAACATCTGAGTCTTCTCATAGTGTACTTATGAGCAAAAATATGTAATTACCTGCCAGTGGTAAGAGTGCTCCTTGTTCTTGCTCTGTCATGGTTTGGATGTTACTTGTGTCACTCCTAGAAGCATGAAATCCTCAGCATTCCAGGAGCTGCTGGATCTGCTTCAAAAGCCTTTTAGGGTTAGCTGATGCTTTGTACCTTCCAGATTGGAGGTTTGGTCTGATGCCTTTCCACAATGTAGTGGTTTCTGAGTGAACTGCCAGACAAAAGGGGATGTGTAGGAGACAGCAATTTCCAGGTGATATTGGACGCATATTGCCCCTACAGCCCTTTCTTGCCATGTGTTCTGCCTAAATGCTGCCTCATTTTGACCTCATGGCGCTGCTCCCAGCATAGCTCAGGCCACACCAAAAGCTGGGGTAGCCAAAATCAGAGCAAGAGTTGAGTGAAGAGTCACAGGCACCCCAGGATGCGGTTTGCCCCCCTGTCTGCCAGGGCACACTGCTGACTCCTATTGAACCTGCTGCCAGCCAGCACCCCCAGGTGCCTTTCTGCAGGGCTGCTCTCCAGGAACTCCTCTCCCAGGCTGTGCTTGTGTCCAGCATCGCTCCATCCCAGGCGCAGAATCCAGCATTTGTGCTGCTTACATTTCATGCCTTTGATGGCTGCCCAGTGCTCCAAGCTATCTAGATCCTTCTGCAAGACCTCTTATCCCTCCAGAGCATCAACAGCAACTCCCAGTCCCTTCAGCAAACTTGTGACCAGTGCATTCAACTGCTGCCTGTAGATGTGTGATAAAAGTATTGTCCACAAATGGCCCTAGAATGGAGCCCTGAGGAATATTGCAGGTGACCATTCACAAAGCACATCTAGCCCCATTCACTGTGACATTTTCAGCACTGCTCTTCAGCAGTTCTTTATGCAATGTATGGTGTACCTGCTCATGTCACATTTGACCAACTTGTCCAGGAGGATGTTGTGAAGGACAAGAGTTCAGCCAGGGCAGATGCAAAGTCTTGTTTCTGGGGAGAAGTGACCCGGTGTAGCAGGAATATCTGGTGGACCAATGGGTTAGAAACCATCTTATCAGAGAAGGACCTTGTGGTCCTAGTGGAGAAAAAACGGACAATGAGGTGGCAACCTACCATTCTAAGAAATGGGCCCATTAGTCCCCAGGGCTGCATTGAGGAGTGGTGCACTGACGAAGGGGAGGGGACCATCACATTCTCCTCAGAAATGCTGAGGACAATCCCATGTGGGATTCATTTCTTGGCTCCCCAGTGAGGAAGGTCTTGGAATTTATGGAGCAAGAGCAGTGCAGGGTAACCATGAGACTGGAGGGACTGGATCAATGTTTTCTAGAGAAGAGGGTGAGAAGTGGGCCACCCAGGATAGAAGGATGTGGAGGGGGCTGGAGGGGGCCCATCATCAATGTGAATAAACCCCTGATGGCAGGGAAAGAAGTGGTCGGAATCCAGCACTTGTCACTAGCGTGCACATGCAGAAGAGGCCCTGGGTACAAGGGGAAAGAGATGGGATTGCATGGGCAAAACAGGCAAGCCTTTTTGCCTGTTTAGAAAGAGAAAGAGTAGAAGAGGTGGTGGAGTCTCTGTGCTGGGAGCTACTGAAACACCACCTGGCCATGGAGCCACGAATGCAGCTCCAGTTGCCCTGTCCTTGAAAAGGGATGAAAGCACCTTCTCTGGAGAGGTTTGTGCTGTTGAAAATGATTCTGAGGAGACTCAGGCTGGGATGCTGGAGAATTTATTGAGACAAAAGAATGAAAATGTAAAAGCACCAAAAGCACCAAGTGGAAGTGAGACAGTCTGAGGTGCAAGGAGTGCGACCATGAGCAGAAGTCTTCTGCTTGCAGTTCTTCCTGCCCTGCAGTGCAAGCAGCATACCAGATGTACCCGAATGGTCTTTGACTTGTAAGAAGGGGTTTACAGGAGAGAGTCCTGGACACAGGCAAAGAGATGATGGGAAGAAGGAAGCAGTACAGCAGGAGGAGGTGCAGGGGCAATATCTTCAGGCATCCTGGGCACGCCCCTTGCCCTGTTTCTTCTCTTGGTGCCTCGAGAGAGGGAGCTGTGGAGGGCAGGTCCACGTGTCAGGAACTGCCCAGAACTGCATCCTCAGACCTTGCCATGGCTACGAGGGTGTAGGTGGTTGGTTTCAGGCGTGCTGTCAATGGCCCTTAGCAGATGTTGCATCCCCTTCCTCTGCCGTAGCAGCCCAGGCCTCCGAAGCCGTAGCCAAGGCCGTAGCCGAAGCCCCCAGAGGAGACGGGCACTCCCTGGGCGCTGAGGACGTTGCCCACGGCAGCGGATGAGGAGGATCCGACGGCGGTGCTCTGGGGGAAGGAGCTGAGGATGGGTCCTGGCAGGGTGACCAGCACGGTGGAAGGCTGGATGACGACGCGGGAGTCCTCGCACTGCCTGACACAGGGCTCGTTGCAGCTGTTGGCCAGCGGGGTGGGTCCGCAGGGGCGGCAGAGGTCGTAGCAGGCCATGTGTGTGGGGTGGAGGGGCCCTGTCAGGGGAGAGGAGAGGAGAGGAGAGAATGGAAGAGAGGGTGTGGGGAGAGCGGAGGGCGTGGGGGTGCGAGGGGCGGTGGTGCAGGAGGGCGAGGCAGTGGGGAGGCTGGTGTGGGGCTGTGGGGCTGTGGTGCTGGGGAGGCGTGAGGGGTGCTGAGGCTGGGGCAGAGCGTGCTGGAAGAGCCGGGGCAGGGGGGCAGGAGCAGAGGGCAAGGGGCTTGAGGCTCACCTTGTTGAGCGCGCAGGAGAAGGCGTCAGCAGAGGCGAGTGAGGGACAGAGGCGCTGGGCCGGCTTTTATGCTGGTGCTGGAGTGCCCGAGGGCTCTGAGACAGTCTCTGTGCATGACAGCATGTTTGTGCAAGCAGCTGGGGCATGGCAGATCCTTGCAAGCAATTAGCTGTGGTTGTGTTTTCCGTCCTGCAGGTCTTCAGTTTCATGTCCTCCCTTTGAGGATGTGTCCTTTTGGACCTGGCGGCAGCTCTCTAGTGGGAGTATGACAGGTCAAAACTTGGTGTTGATGGCATGTGAGTGCAAAACATGGAAACCAAGCTTTGGAGAGGTATAGGTGTTGTAAGTTATGTCATCTCGAGGCACTCGTGGTGTAGTTTGGGGTTGTGTTGTGATGATGGGCCCCAATGTCATAGCAGCTCTGTCAGGGTGTTGTGGCCTTTGGAGCTGTGCTGGCTGTGAGCGGCTCCCTCTTCCATCACATTCAGTCCCTCTCCACCTTGCTGCCGGGTCTATTCTCCTGCCTGTAGTCCTGTCCTTTCCTTTTGTGTGAGCTCTGTGGGTGTCTCAGTGCCCTTTGTGCTCTAAGGTTGTCCCTTGGAGTAGTGTGTTTCTCTGGAAAGTTTTTTGTAGGCATAGGTTTAACAATGTGGCTTTATGAGATGAGGCCTGAAACTTCCCCCATATCTGTTAGACCCTGTTGGGATTATCTGTGTTGCATAAATTCATGGAAAACCACTTCCAGTGAAGGGACCCCAGGATGGAGCAGGGAAAGAGTGTGAGAAGGAAAGAGGAGAAGCGACAATGTGTGTTCAACTGATCACAGTCCCCAGTTCCTCATCCCTTTGTCCTGTTTTGAGCAAGGGAATACGTACTTCAGGAGGGAATTTGACTGTAAGGAAGGGAGAGGGGAAAGGTGTTTTCAGATTTGTTTTTATTTCTCAGAATTCTACTCTGACTTTTGATTTTGATAATTTAAATCAAGTTCCCTGAGTCAGGTGTGTTTTGTTGGCATCGAAAACTTGTGTGTGATCTCCATGTCCTCATTTCGACTCAGGAGCCTTTTGTCGTATTCTCCTCATCTCATCCTCTTAAGGAAAAGGAGTGATAGAGCAGCTCAGAGAGCACTTGGTGCCCTGCCAAGGTCAACACAACATACAGCTCCATCTTCACAGCAGGGCTGGGTCACAGGCTTGGTCCAGCACTTGTCCCAGTGTCCCCTGCAGGGCCTGTCCGGATCAAGGTGAGGATCATTGTGGCCTCACATTGGGGGCTGTCTGTGTGACCTCAGAGCAGCGGGATGGTGAGTTGGGGCCCCCTGCAGAGTTGGTCCCGAGATTCTGCAGCAGGGAGGGTGTCGGTCAGGAGATCCCCTGCATGGGTCACTGTTGGGCTGTGCAGTGAAGAGGGGCTGGTGGCTGCAGAACCTTCAAGTCATCATTTGTGAACCCTATAGCAAGGTGATACCACGGGCTGGGAACTCTGGTGTGTTTGGAATGGGGACCCAGCAGCCAGATGGTCAGTGCAGCACCAAGCCCACACCTGGATCAGAGAAGGAATGCACAGCAAAGAGGGTGGTGACCCTGGCACCCTGCATGGGATACCCATGGTCCTCACAGCAAGGGAGGGAATGGACACTCTTCTGCTCCCTGGCTAAGCATCACCTGAAGTCCTGTGTCCAGTTTTGACCTCCCCAGTGTAAGAGATACATGGAGGTGGGAGAAGAAGCCTTCCTGGAAAGCAGTGGCATGCCCCGCAAGGTCAAGGTGGTGGGCTGTGGTTTTAGATGTGTTTTTTGGAAGGGTAAATTGTGCTTGACCAACCTCTGTGTCTTCTTTGTTGAAGCCACCGGGTGCTGGAGAAAGGCCAAGCAGTGTCTGTTGTTGAGCGGTACTTGAAGGAAGCTTCTGACACTGTCTCCCATTACATGTTCCTGGAGAAGTGGAGAAAGTTGGGGTTGTGTAAGGGCCCAGTGAGGTGGATTGCAAAATGACTGAAGGGGTGGGCCCAGAGTCTCGTGATCAGGGAACGGCCACATGGGAAAACAGATGGAATTCCATGGTGTGATGGGTTCACCAGTAGCAGTCATTTTTTCTCCTTCTTGGTAGCTGGTGCAGTGCTGTGTATTTTAATTTCGGCCTGGGAACGGTGCTGATAGCACCGATGATTTTAGTTACTGCTCAAATATTTGGTGCGGCCAAGGACTTTCTGAGCCTCATGCTCTGCCAGGGAGGAGGGGCAGCCAGGAGGAAGCAGAGACAGGACACCTGACCCAAACTGACCAAAGAGGTATTCCATACCACAGCACGTCGTGCCCGGAATATGAGTGAGAGTTACGAGGAAGGGCTAGAGGACTGCAGGGTTGGGTGAGGTATCGGTCGGTGCTTGGTGGGGCTGGGGGGGGGCGAGTTATCGGTTGGTGGGTGGTGAGGTGTTGTATTCTCTTCCCTTGTTATTTCCTTTATCATTACTATTATTGGTGGTAGCAGCAGTGATTCGTGTTATACCTCAGTTACTAAACTGTTCTTATCTCAACCTATGGGAGTTGCATTCTTTTGATTCTCCTTCCCATCCCTCTGGGAGCAGAGGGAGGGCAAAAGGGGGGGGAGTGAGAAAGAGAGTGTGTGATTTATGGCTGACTTTGTTTAAACCACGACACATGGGCAAAGAAGGAAGCTGAATTGGCATTGGCCTTTTTCCGTGTGAGGACGGTCAATAAGTAGAAGAGGTTGTGGAGTCTCCTGGGTGGGATCTACTGAAAACCCAACTGGGCATGGTTAGGACAAGCTGCTATAAGTGGCCCTGCTGTGTCAGAGGGGGTGAAGCAGCTGCTATCCGAAGGTTTCTGCCAAACCAAATGGTTGTGTGATTCTGTTTGCTGGGAGGGCTGGAGAGCCTTGCTGGGGAGGAGAGTTAGTCCAGTGTGTGGTGGCACAGGGGCACTTCATCAGAGGCATGCAAGGGGGAGCGTTACCAAATCAACTGTTTAAGCCAGTGTCACATTTTGGCACACCTCCACACGTCGGGCTGTGTTGTTGCTGGTTGTGCTGGCATATCTGCTGCCCGAGACCTCGAGGTTCTTTTCCACCCCCCAATGGCCTGCCTTTGTGCTGTGTGGAGTTGGAATACCCTTGGTAGAAGAAAGGGAAAGGACGCGTCACAGACTTGGATGCAGAAGAACTTTATTGAGGCAAAGGAATGAAAATGTAAAAGCATAAGGTGATACAGAGCTGGTCTAAGGCATAGGTAAGATAACTATGCACTGAGGTTTTCTATTTGAAGGACATGTCAGAGCACTGAGGTCTTCCTGTCCTGACTTGGGAGAAGGTCCCTTGAATCTTTCTTAGCTCGTGAGATGCTGATTGTGACAGAGAGTACCTGATGTAGCAGATGCAGTGAAGTGGAGAAGGAAGTGGGAGAAGAAAATGAGATCCATGGGCAAGGGTAACAAACAGCTTCAGCTTGCCCTTAGCCTGCTTCCTTTCTAGTGACTTGAGAGGAGGAGCTGTGGAGAGCAGATCTATGGATCAGGAATAGCCCGGACATGCATCCTCAATCATTGCCATGGATTCAATAGTGCGGGCGGCTGATTTCAGGCATGCTGTCAATGGCCCTTAGCAGATGTTGCATCCCCTTCCTCTGCCGTAGCAGCCCAGGCCTCCGAAGCCGTAGCCAAGGCCGTAGCCGAAGCCCCCAGAGGAGACGGGCACTCCCTGGGCGCTGAGGACGTTGCCCACGGCAGCGGATGAGGAGGATCCGACGGCGGTGCTCTGGGGGAAGGAGCTGAGGATGGGTCCTGGCAGGGTGACCAGCACGGTGGAAGGCTGGATGACGACGCGGGAGTCCTCGCACTGCCTGACACAGGGCTCGTTGCAGCTGTTGGCCAGCGGGGTGGGTCCGCAGGGGCGGCAGAGGTCGTAGCAGGCCATGTGTGTGGGGTGGAGGGGCCCTGGCAGGGGAGAGGAGAGGAGAGGAGAGAATGGAAGAGAGGGTGTGGGGAGAGCGGAGGGCGTGGGGGTGCGAGGGGCGGTGGTGCAGGAGGGCGAGGCAGTGGGGAGGCTGGTGTGGGGCTGTGGGGCTGTGGTGCTGGGGAGGCGTGAGGGGTGCTGAGGCTGGGGCAGAGCGTGCTGGAAGAGCCGGGGCAGGGGGGCAGGAGCAGAGGGCAAGGGGCTTGAGGCTCACCTTGTTGAGCGCGCAGGAGAAGGCGTCAGCAGAGGCGAGTGAGGGACAGAGGCGCTGGGCCGGCTTTTATGCTGGTCCCCGAGGGGCGGGACAGCCTTTGCGCATGGCAGCATTTGTCAGCAAGCAGCTGGTGCGTGCCACAGCCTGGCAAGTCACGAGCTGGGGCGTGTTCTCCTTCCCACAGCGCTCCATTGGCATGTCCTCCTGTTGGGAACGTGTCCATCTGGCCCTGGCGGCAGCTTTCAAGTGACAGTGTGTGTTTGGGAGCATTGGCATGGGAAGTGTCTGTCAGGGCACTCTGCAGACATAGCCAGAGCGTTAGAGAGGTGGGGTGGTGTGAGTGAGCTCATCCCGTGGCACTCGTGTGCTGTGGTTTGTGGGTGCCTTGTGAAGAGGTTTCCCATGTCCTCGTAGCCATGTAAGTGGAGGACAGTTTGCAACAGCAGGCTGTGCTAATGGAAATTGTTCTTGAGATCTGGTTATTCCTGTGATGTGGGGAGCACTTCCAATCTGTCCAAAATTTCGTGTTGTCTCAGTCGTACCGCTCCCCTCTTTCATGAGTGGCACGTTTGCAGCCTGGTCTTGGTTTGATGCAGTGCTTGATTTGGGGCCTTGTAAGGAGACCACCTTTGTAAGGGTGTCTGCTTTGAAATGATGAGTTTTGTAGACAAGGAGAGAGCTATTCTGATAATAGTCTTGCAAAGCCTTTGATGCTTTCTCCCATTGCATGGTCATGGGGTGTGGGGTCACCTGGGTTTGTGGGCAGTTGGTTTGATTGCTCTCTCAGCAGGTTTAGAGATGATGCAAAATGTGGAGAGAGACTCAGATGCTGGATGGTTGTGCCATGACTTAGAAGGAACAGGAGGTGCTGGAGAATGGGCAGAGAGGAATCTCCTGAAGTTCAACAGGAAGAAATGTCAAGTTTTCCATGTCGGGAGGAATGGCTCCTGTTGTCAGAACGTACCGGAGACTGAGAGGCTGGAAAGCAGCTTTGCTGAGTACAGCTTTGTGGTGCTGGTGGAGAGCAAGCTCAGGATGGTGCAGCAATGCACCCTTGCAGCAAAAGAGGCCAAGAGTCCCCATGGCCAAGAGATTTTGTTGTTGGTGTGTGTGGGGGGGGGTGTTCTTACTCTCTCTTCATTGCTGGTGAGGCTTTGTGAGGAGGCCTATGTCCAGTAGAGGTCTTCTCACTAGAGGAAGGACATGGATGTGGTGGAGGCAATCCAATGTATGACCACCAGGATGCTGCAGGGACTGGAACATCCTTGCTATGAGGAGAAGCCTAGAAAGGTGGAAGGGGGGTTTTCAGCCAGGAGGCAAGGATGCACAGGGCAGATGTCATCAATGTGTCTATATCCCGAGTGGGAGGGAATGAAGACAAGGGAGAGAGAATGTTCTCATCAGTGCCATGTCCAGGGCAAGGATGAACGGGGGAAGCTGTAAAGATGTGCCCTTTCTCTTGGAAGAGATGGCAACACTTTTTTGGTGTGACTGTGGTCAGCCGTGGCACTGGTTGTACAGGGGGCTGTTGGGAGTCTCCATCCTTGGAGGCACTGAAAAGCTGAGTGGACATCTCTGACAGCATGTTCTTGCTGACCTTGCTTAAGGAGGTCAGCCTGAAAGAGATGATCCCCAGAGGTCCCTTGTGCACTGACTGATTCTGTTTGCTATGTTACTGCTTGTGATGGCCCGGTAGCTGTGATTGGAAAGAGACTTGGTGAAGCGTGTGTTGCCATGGGGAGCTTGGGTCAGAGGTGTGGGTAGAAGTGCATTAGCATTTCCAAGGTTTTTGGCAAGGGAAGAGTTGGTGTCTGGGCTGGAAGCAAACAGGCGGGTTTTGCAGAGGACTTAATACATTACAGTGTTCTGGTGGACTTTTCCTCCAACTTGATGGCCTATTGAGCCCTGGCTTTGTGCTGGTTGAGGTTGGATGAGCACTGGGACAAGTAAAGAAGAGGAGGCCTCTTACGCTTGGATGCAGGAGAAGTTTCTTGAGGAAAATGTCATGAAAAGGCAGGAGAACCAAGGGAACCAGTGTGAGGTAAAAGTAGGGCAACCATCAGCCAGGTCCCCTGTGTGTAGCAGGTGTTGCCTGAATCCTGAGATCTTTGTGGCCCACAGTGGGAGCAGTGCTCTAGAGATTCCCAGGGGGGTTTAGGTTGTGAGATAGTGTTTGAAGTGGACTAGATCAGAATGAGAAGTGTGGAGAAGGAAGCTGGAGAAGAAGAGGAGTTCCATGAGCCATGTGTCCATGCAGCAGGAGGTGGGCCCATTCTCTCCTGGTTTTCAAGCATGCTGAGGTGCTGGGCTGGCTTTTATGCTGGTCCCTGAAGGGTGGGACAGCCTTTGGGCATGGCAGCATTTGTCAGCAAGCAGCTGGTGCATGCCACAGCCTGGCAAGTCATGAGTTGTGGTTGTGTTTTCCTTCCCACAGCACTCACTTTGCATGTCCTCCTGTTGAGGTTTGTCCATCTGGTCCTGGTGGCAGCTTTTAAGTATAATAATTTAAGGCCAAATACTTGGTGTTTGTGGTGCTTTTCAGGACACTTGGCAGAACTTGCAACCAAAGTGTTTGAGAGGTGGGGTGGTGTGAGTGAGATCATCCCGTGGCACTCATGTGGTGTGGTTTGCGAGTGCTTTGTGAAGTGGGTGCCCCATGTCCTGACAGCTGTGTCAGGCTGGTCTGGGCTTTGGAGCTGTGCTGGCTGTGAGGGGCTGCCCCTTCCATTGCATTCAGTCCCTCCCCACCTGGTTGCCAGGTTGCTAAGCCTGTCTTCAGGCCTTTCCCGTTGGGTGAGCTCTGTGGGTGTCCTGTTGCCCAATAGTTCTTGTGAGGTTGTCACCTGATGGTCTGGGTTTATGGAGTTAACTTCGGTTTATTTAAGTTATTATTTAGTTAAGTTTATTCCAAGGAAGGAGTGGCAGAGGCAACATGTGTTGAAATGATCATAACACTCTTTCTCCATCCCCTTTTGTCATTTTGGGAGAGGGAGTATGTATTTCAGGAGGGGAGGTGGACCTGCAGGAGGGGGGGATTTGGGGGAAGGTGTTTTAAAATTTGCTTTTATTTCTCCTAATTCTACTCTGTCTTTTGATTTTGATAAATGAATTTCCCCAAGCAAAGTCTGTTTTGTTGCCACTGGAGACCAGTGAGTGATCTCCATGCTGTTATCTCAACTCGGGAGCCTTCTGTCATATTCTTCTACATAGTAGAGGAAGTGACTGAGCAGCTCAGAGAGGAGTTGTCACCCAGACAAGGTTAACCCAGCATGGAGCCCCGTCTTTGTAGCAGATCTGGGTCGCAGGCTTATAGAATAGAAAAGATCATAGAAGACTTCGCGTTGGAAAGGACCTTAAGATCATCTAGTTGCAACCCCCCTGTCATGTACAGGGACACTTCACACTAAACCATTTCATCCAAGGCTCTGTCCACCCTGGCCTTGAGCACTGCCAGTGATGGAGCATTCACAACTTCCTTGGGCAGTCCATTCCAGTGGCTCACCAACCTTACAGTAAAGAACATCTTCCTTATATACAATCTAAACTTACCCTGTTTAAGATTTAACCCATTACCCCTTGTCCTATCACTACAGTCCCTAATGAAGAGTCCCTCCCCAGCATCCGTATATGCCCCCTTCAGATACTGGAAGGCTGCTCTGAGGTCTCCACGCAGCTTCTCTTCTCCAGGCTGAACAGCCCCAACTTTCTCAGCCTGTCTTCATATGGGAGGTGCTCCAGTCCCCTGATCATTCTCGTGGCCTCCTCTGGACTTGTTCCAACAGATCCATGTCCTTTTTATGTTGAGGACACCAGAACTGCACACAATACTCCAAGTGAGGTCTCACAAGAGCAGAAGAATGGGGCAGGATCACCTCCTTCGACCTGCTGGTCACGCTCCTTTTGATGCAGCCCAGGATACGGTTGGCTTTCTGGGCTGCAAGCACACACTGCCAGCTCATGTTCATTTTCTCATCGACCAGCACCCCCAAGTCCTTCTCCCTGATGGCAGGGAAAGAAGTGGTGGGAATCCAGCACTTGGCACTGGCGTGCACATGCAAAAGAAGAGGCCCTGGGTACAAGGGGAAAGAGATGGGATTGCATGGGCAAAACAGGCAAGCCTTTTTGCCTGTTTGGAAGGGCAAAGAGTAGAAGAGGTGGTGGAGTCTCTGTGCTGGGAGCTACTGAAACACCAACTGGCCATGGAGCCACGAATGCAGCTCCAGTTGCCCTGTTCTTGAAAAGGGATGAAAGCACCTTCTCTGGAGAGGTTTGTGCTGTTGAAAATGATTCTGAGGAGACTCAGGCTGGGATGCTGGAGAATTTATTGAGACAAAAGAATGAAAATGTAAAAGCACCAAAAGCACCAAGTGGAAGTGAGACAGTCTGAGGTGCAAGGAGTGCGACCATGAGCAGAAGTCTTCTGCTTGCAGTTCTTCCTGCCCTGCAGTGCAAGCAGCATACCAGATGTACCCGAATGGTCTTTGACTTGTAAGAAGGGGTTTACAGGAGAGAGTCCTGGACACAGGCAAAGAGATGATGGGAAGAAGGAAGCAGTACAGCAGGAGGAGGTGCAGGGGCAATATCTTCAGGCATCCTGGGCACGCCCCTTGCCCTGTTTCTTCTCTTGGTGCCTCGAGAGAGGGAGCTGTGGAGGGCAGGTCCACGTGTCAGGAACTGCCCAGAACTGCATCCTCAGACCTTGCCATGGCTACGAGGGTGTAGGTGGTTGGTTTCAGGCATGCTGTCAATGGCCCTTAGCAGATGTCGCATCCCCTTCCTCTGCCGTAGCAGCCCAGGCCTCCGAAGCCGTAGCCAAGGCCGTAGCCGAAGCCCCCAGAGGAGACGGGCACTCCCTGGGCGCTGAGGACGTTGCCCACGGCAGCGGATGAGGAGGATCCGACGGCGGTGCTCTGGGGGAAGGAGCTGAGGATGGGTCCTGGCAGGGTGACCAGCACGGTGGAAGGCTGGATGACGACGCGGGAGTCCTCGCACTGCCTGACACAGGGCTCGTTGCAGCTGTTGGCCAGCGGGGTGGGTCCGCAGGGGCGGCAGAGGTCGTAGCAGGCCATGTGTGTGGGGTGGAGGGGCCCTGGCAGGGGAGAGGAGAGGAGAGGAGAGAATGGAAGAGAGGGTGTGGGGAGAGCGGAGGGCGTGGGGGTGCGAGGGGCGGTGGTGCAGGAGGGCGAGGCAGTG